TCATTTAAATACACAATTTTCTATTTACTTTTCAAAGTTACACAGATGATATTAAATTTGTCAGGCCAGCTAAACTTTATTGTTTCTGTCTCCCATTTCAGATAATCCTTACTAATCAGCAAGGCATTTTCTACTCTCCTAGAACTACATCCATCAATTACTCCCATGACTTGTTCCTGGCCAGACTTTAGGCCATGTCATTGCTTCAACTCAAAATTTTGGAATTCTTTCAAGTCTCTTCTACCCTTGCGGCTTTTGCTTCAGTACCCCTTTCCAGTTCTCCATGTAGGTCCTGGATACATCCTTGAATCATTTCACAGATATCTCCTCCCACTGGCACAACTCTCAATTTAACTTCTTTTCCTTTCCAGGAATCTCCACCCTGTCAACGCTCCCATCTTCTATCCTCATTTTTTCACCACTAAAACCATGATCATCCTTAACTCTTAGCTCTCTCTTGCTCTACACACCTGGGGTGTTTCCAATGGCTGCCACATAGCCCTTTTCTTTACAAACCTTTCCCTCTTCTATTCAGCTAAATCCTATTTTTTTGCCTTAGCTATGGCAATCCTCTCTGTATAATAGAGAAAATCCCATTCCCCTTCTCTCCAACAACTATTACACCTACTGTAACAAATAAAAAGGCAGCTCATCTAATACAGTATGGAATTTTATTTTCCTGTTAGCACTTTTCAGTTTGGAACTAGACAAGTGCTAAAACGTTTTTCCCACATGTGTTTAAATTCATAGCTTTTCTCTTCCCACCCTTGCTTCTCATTTCTGTTAATTTTTCTCCATTGGCTGTGGTTATCTCAACAGCAGGTGGCAAAGTCTATGTGAAGTGAGTATTTCCACAATTGTTTGCTGGACAGTGCAGCAACATCAAAGAGAGTTACCACTTGCCACATCAACAGGGACTTTTTTGGACACAGGAGTAGTGAGAATGCCACCAAGCAAGGTAATACTTCTTTATAAAGAATATAAAATAGCACTGCAAGCTAGATGCTTTGCAAGCTAGGTATAAATCTCACCATCCTTCATGTCTCCAGAAAGCAGTTCCAAGTTACATGGATCCTCACAGGGAGCTGGTAATTCAGCAGGTAACAGCTGAGTAATTACCAGCTCGTTACTCCGCTGTCTCATAACAGCCTGCGAGCAGTGACAAGGTGACAATTTGGAGACAGTTCAGGCTCAAGCTCCGCTGGGAAATTGCCAATTCACTTCAGGTGGGCCTGGACACCCACTCATGCTCAAAACTCTCGCTCTCAAAACACACATCCTCTCAACCACTGCAAAGGAAGAAATTCATTTAACTGGGTACAGTATTTTCCTTCTCAAAGCACTCATGAAAGATTCCTCTTTACTATATTCAGGTAATACTTGAGCAGGACAGCCCTGGTTCTCACCTTTAAATGACCTGGGGCTTTAGCATTCACATAAACCATACTGGGTTATCCCAAGAATCCTTGCCCAGAGGATATAACCTCAGAACTAATTCCAGAGACTCTAGCTGTGTCCTCTCTGGGGAGCAGAAATAATACTCTTGTAACACTGATCGCTCTTCAGATGTGTCAATATTCAGTGAAGCTGACATCACTTTAAGGAGATTTTTGGAGGTGCTGTGGCTGCTAAGACTCAGTGTATTTTCACTTGGACCTTGCCTGTAATATTAATCCATTAAAACAGAAGTGCATCTCAGGAAGAAAGTAGCAGGTATTTGAAAGTCTCACCGTGTTTTGAACATAGTTAAATTACTTGCAACGGTAAAGTACCATTGCACAAGGACAAAGGAAGGCCAAGTTTTACTCCCAAGACCAGCCTGTGTTCTTATTCGGCCTGTCACACAAAAGAGGGCCACAGAAACGTGGCTCAGCAAACGTGAGAAAGCACTCAACTGCCATGGCGTTTTGGGTGGGGGGGAAAACACACACATACTACAAAAATCTAATAATTCTCCACCCAAGCATTGCTAGTGAATGAGCTCACTGGCTTCCTCCACGTACTCCAGCAGCCTTCCTGCCATCACTCTGTCAAGCCAAGCAATGATGTCAACGTCCACCTGTGAGAGTGATGCAGGCCCCTGGGTCAGGGTCACAGAGCGCGCCGATAAAAGCCGGGCCAGTGTTAATTAAATGAACCTCTTGTTTCACTGCTGATTTCCTCTGATAAGGCTCGTGTCATTTTTCCTGGAAAGACTTCCCTGCTTTAAGGGAACCAGAGCCAACTATAATACAAAACAAATATTGCTCGGAGGATATGAAGACAGCATAACACATTAAATACTTAGTTTTAAAAAACGACTGCATATCAGTGCTGGGGTAAATACAACTCTCATTAACTTGCCTGTGCTAATGACAAGGTTAAACTACAAATGCTATTTACTGCAGATAGTTTATAATCTTTTGGCAGGTCTAATCTCTTTCATTTGAAATGTTCTTTAGACTGAGGTTATAGAGATAATTGAAACCGAATTCTAATAACTTGGTTTCTCCACTAAAGGAATTAGCAAAGATAAGTTTTTCAGATTAAAGTGAGAGGTGTTCATCCAGTAAAAAACATGCTTTGAGACTAGATTAGGAATTTAATTAACATCAGAATTACCAAATCAAGTTTAAGGAACATGTTGTCCCATATTCTGGCACCAGAAATTCTCAGCTGCAAGAAAGTTCTAAACAGTTTAGATATTAAGGGTCCTCACCCACTAATATGATCCAGCATATAATGAGAAGAGAGGAGAAAAATACATATTGCCATTTTCCCCTCCTTTACAACAAATCTAATCCACTGTTGTAATGGATGCTTTTCACCATATGCTGTACACGATTTTTGTTATCCCTCTACTCACAGGACCTTCTAGCCACCTAAAGCCTTCATACTTTTATACTTGGTTTGTTGTCACAGACATTTTCAAGTAGTTTTATTAATAAGAGAACTGCCATGGGCAAGCCCATGGTTTTTGAATGAACACTAAAAGTCTTTCTTGTATGGCTTAAAAAGTACCATTAGCCATAGGACCTAACTGCTGACAGGACAGCAGAAATCTAGAGGTGACAAAATAGAAAAAACAAAATTCTACCAGATACATTTGTTTCCTAATGATTACAAACATAAATTCTGAAACAGTCAACAAAGTAGAGCTCTTGCTATAAATTTAATTCCAGAAAAAGAGAATAGTATAACAAGGATGTTAGGAATACATTCATTTTCATTCATTCAGTTTGGTCTTTAGAAACTATAATAGTTCCAAGGAGAGTTTTTTTTTTCTTTTGCTAGAAGAGAGGACCACTGGACACCATTATTTATTGTATATACAGCTAAATGTACTTGTCACGTCAGTTCTTCCAGTCCCACATTCCTGAGTGTTTGCAATATTTTCCAAACAATCATTCCCCAATGTCTGTCTATAAAGATTTTCAGCTCTTGGGTATCTTAGGTTTATACAATACCTTTTCCTACGAACTCTGCTAGAATATCTAATACTGGAAGTACATACGCTGCCCACCTAGTGCCTAATATGAGAAAAGCTCCTTGGCTATATTACCCCTCACTAAAAAGGTAGAACATGTTTTTTAAAACATCTCCTCCAATAGGAAACTCTCTCTAAAGAACCACATTTCTGTTTTTAGTTGGCAAACCAAACTGCAAGTTATTCCTTCACAGTTTTGTCAATACTGGTCCTAAGGACAGTTGTTGTGGATGGGTGAGGCTGACCTGCAGCTAGCTTGCGTTGAAGTGTGCAGAACATGACCCATTTTGAAAGCTCCATCCAAGCACATTTCACCCCAACATCGCTGCTTCACGGCTTTGAAGCAGTTGTGGCAGAAAGAAGACACTAGAATTTCTAATGATTTCCTTTCTTCCTGTCACCAGTAATTGGAAGTTTGGTCTTACACAATTTAAACAGTACGTATCACCTTATACCTGACTGAGGTTGGAGGTAACTACCTGCCCCTTGCTGTGCTGCACTTCTCCTGGATGCACACAGTGCGGCCACGCAGATGGAAAGCATATCCATAGTGTAGGGAGTCAGAGTGACACTGTTTCCTGAACTTCAGGAACTCTCCTGGTCAGAAAGTACTTCCTTCCTTGTTTCAAACACTTGATTGTTTCAGAGGGAATTCAAAACAATAGATTAGAAACTTTCAGCCTTTCCCAAGTGTACTGCTGCTCAAGGAAACTGGGCCACGCTCTGGGAAGATGAGATAACACAGGGAGAGTTCTCCTTTCCGGAAATGCAATAGCTTTTGCATCCCTTCCCTAGCACCATCCCATGAATCAGCTACATGTTAGTAATAATTCATGTTATGAGATGTCAGATATAGTTCAACTATTGTTTGAAATAAGATGTGCGTGGTTGGCAAAAAAACGTAAGCTAAAGGCAGTACCTTCTCAGTTACTTTGATAAGGCTTGTCATGGAGGAAATATCAAGAACTTCCTAATTTGAGCCACTACTTTTAAGGAAAAGGTAGTAAAAAAGACCTTTTAGTACCTCATACTTTAAATCTCTAAAAAACGTACTGCTACTGTCGTAGTTAGAACTCTCTTCCCACAAGAGTTCATTTCACAGAATAAGCAGAGATGTTCATAAAAATGAAGAATGGATCAGGCTTATTATATTTCACAGAAAAGCAACCATTTTTATCATATCTTTTTTCCTAAAACAATTGCATTTACCTAAATACAATACAGAGTGCTTTACACTGATGGATGAAAGATATAGTATTTAAAAGATAATCATGAAACTACAGTATTTTTTTAGGCTGCGTTGAGTAATGAAAGGAAACAGACATGAAAATAGCATTTGCTACAGGATTAGGTCGCTTAAGTATTGTAGGATAAATATGAAACATTAGAAACAGTAACAATGGCCAAGAGTAACTCTCTCAGACCTGGTAGTCAAAACTCTTATGTATGATATTAAATGCTCCTAATCCCCTTTTACTATCAACATAGAGCTACAAGATTTGGCAAGAGAAAACACTGAAAAATGAGAACTCACCTGGTTCTACAGATTCTTTTGAGTGGCAGAAAGGAAATGTACTTCCCTGTCATGATCAAAGGGAGGGGAGTGATGAAGTTGGGATACTCTACACTCACCGTTCCTACCAAAGGGTAGATGAATCCAGCTCCAATGCTGGCCCGCACATCACTAATCGGCAGAATGAAACCGGTGGGAACGCCCTTCCTCTCAGGCTGATGGGAGAGGGATAGGTGAGTTTTTGCCATACAAATGGGAAGATTACCAAATCCCTGATAAAAGAGGGGAAAAAAAAAGTATTTTTAAGGTTACAAGATTACAGTAAAGACAGCATACCTTTCTGCTTTGTTATCAATATCTTCTATAGATCATAAAAGCGATATAACAATAATGAACCTGTTTCTTAACACAGGCACCTGCCACTCTCCTGTGAGATTCCTGGGCAAACAGGGATGCAATTCAACAATCTGGAAGGAGAGATCTGGTACCAGAAGGAATTGTCTCTGCAGCCCAGTGCTGAGGGCAACCCTTCAATGACATTCTGAAAATACTTCCAAATACAAATAATATTTAGACAAAGAATAGACTACTGCAACAAACTGAAGTTGGAAAACACAAAGAAATGGAATATTCTACTTCAAGTATACTAAATAAGTTTCTTTTCCATCCAGAAACCCAATATAATTCTCTGAACATTTGCATTTTAGAGAAGATGGCTATAATTCTGCCTGACCAAGTTGATGAAGCATACCTGAGAATTTTTCCTTAACATATGACCCATATTTTCTATTTCCTCACAGAAAGGCTCCAGTCATATTCACTAGCAGAAATTGCTCCTTTTACAGCATATATGCTCACCCCTTTGAATGGCTTCAGAACTGTAACATACCCCTTTCCCACATGCTTTAAGAACAGTGATCTACTTCATCTGTGATCTAATCCTTCTAGCACTTACCGCCCCTTGAAAAAGACATGAACAGAAGAGAAACAGAAGATTTTAAAAGTATGAAGAGCTTTTATTATTAGAATACACAGTCGTGCATGAGACTTTTTGTATTTCCAAACATGCATGCATTTTTGGCAGGTACTTATGCTGAAATTGGGCACATTTGTTAGGAACTATCTATGTAGATATGGAGCTACACATTTAAAGCAGTAAATGCTATTCTTCTTCTGGGTCTATCATCTCAATTTTATTTAGACATCCAAGACAGACATCCACTTTCTGGACATCTTTTGACACCTAAATATTGTTTCATAATTAGAAAAAAAGATGAGCAACTCCCTAGCAGCCTCAGCTGAAATTTAAAGTACACCAATACCTATAAGCCTTGAAGGAAAGAAATTTTGCCTGTTAATATTAAAAGGGAATATTTTGTAGTTATCCACAATGAAAGAGCCTTAGCACAACTGAAATTTGTTTAGAGAGTAATAGAAAAGGGATTTTGCTCCAGGAGTTGTAGGTAAAATGCAAGCTAAACATTCAAAAGATATGTGGTATTTTACAGAAGACAGCTTACAAAATTAAACTCATTCTGTCTTATCTAATATAAAAACCCACCTGCCTTTTAGCAAAGCTGGGCTAAAAACTCCCCTCCAAACTGAGAACTTTATATAATCTAGGGTGTCCCAATGCTCACATTACCACTGGTGCTCTTACCTGCTGGCTGTAACGATCCACTTGTGACTGTGCAGCAGGAGACAACTCTATATCCTGAGCTCCATACACCTTCTGAGCAATGATCCTTATTTTTTCAACAATAGGAAGCTGCAGATACATGGAAACAATATAAATATGAACACTGGCAAAGAAAAAACTATGATCTTTTTACTCCCACAAGGGTATGAAATTGGTTCAGGAATAACAAATTCAGAGTCTATGAGCAAGGGTGAATGCTTTCCTAGTAATAATGCTTCCTCTACCAAGACATGTCAAGTAAGCATAAGATTTTGTGTCAGGCTTACATTTTTTGTATTTCTTATTATATTTGAGAAAAATCAAAGTTTAAAGTTGACTGTCTATTCATACTCTAGTAACAGAGAAATCACAAGGAAAACAATGGTCACGTCCCACACTTTCAAAGAACTAGAATGTAGGACAGTTACAAGCTACTAAGACTCAAGTAAAACCCTGCATTCACATAAGAAAATTCAAAATAAAATCTAAAGACATACCACAAGACACCTTTTGAAACAAGCTGACAATATGATCATTGCAGCATAACTGGTTGGAAAAACGTTACATCCCTGATTTCAGGTGCTATAACAGACACAAATCATTAAAACCTAATGACATTGGAGATAACACATCACAAGCACCCTGGGCTTAATTCTTAACTAAGCACTAAACTGTAAAGAATACTTAAATGGCATGGATAATGATCACAAGATGAAACTTCCTCTGCGTTCATTATTATGGTACCTTTATGTCCACCGCAGTTCTGAACACAGCATAAGAAATTCAAAACATCTCTGCCCCATCACCTTTTGGGTGCCGTTTACTTCCAGTTAAGAACTAACAGCAAGAGCAAAAGTTCCATTCCTAGGGAAGCTGTGACTTACCTCTGTAAACCAGTATCAAAACCAACAACTTTCTGCTTAAATCTCGGTAAATTCATTGAGACGGAGATGCTCATTTAGATTCAGTTTGCATTTGCCTTGAAATATTTCAAACTAATTTGACAGTAACACGGTCTCTGCAAACCCCCTCCAGCAATGACAGTTCTAGTTTCCAAATAAAATCCAGCAGGGTTCTGGCTAGCATCAGAACAGACTCCTTTAATGAGAGCACTGGCATTCTGCTTCTCCTCAGGTTATGCTAAATTCCTGCATGACCTGAGTCTGAGCTGGATATTGAACTTTTTTTTTTTAAAATTAGGATTTGAGATACTTATTTGTCCACCAAGCACCCCAAAAATGTTGTGACTTTAACTTGGGAAGAATCACCAGCTGGAGTAGCAGATAGGAGAGTGCAAACTGCTAACAGAAATGCTTTTGTGAGGCAGTCCCATGCCCCTGCAAGACAGGCACATCCTTTGGTGAGGTGGGTTGCATCATGTTATAGAAGAGTTTGAAGCCAGTAAACCTAACTTCTAAAATGTGACAAACACGCTCATTTTAACTGTGCACATAAACAGGCTCTTTCTCAGACATGCTTCTTTCCTCAAGCTTCAGGAGCAGGGGAAGGAACACACTAGACTGTGCTCAGCGTCCACCTGTCTCCCAGCATCTAGCGGGATTTTTTAGGGATTATCTATTTAGAATCACAGTGTAGCAGCATTTCAAGCATTTCATGGATACCTGTGTAAGCAGGTATCAAGTAATACAGCTGGGCAGCTTTGTTTTAACTTAGTTAAAATATTTTCCAAAGAAAAGCCACTGGTATCTTACATGAGAAACACAAATTCATTTCAGTTAAAAACAACTTGACCTTTTTTATCACAGAGAAAAAGGTGGTAATTGAAGAGATTTTTACACATTTGTTACTGTAGAATTTAGAATGTTTGCAAGATACTTGCAGGAAAAAATCTAAGTTGTTTTTCTCTAGTGTTTAAGGGCAACTTTAGGTTTTCAAGAATACTGCTAGTTATTCAACACTTCACTCTAGAAAGCTTCTCAATGATGGGAATAGGGATTCACCGTATGTATCAATGCTTTACAACGCCAACTCACAGGTAACAGTGCTTGGCTTAACGCAAAGAATAGAAAAAACAGGGTCAAGTTATCCAAAGTATCTAAATACTTAAAAGACTGTAAGATGGTTTTTTGCTCCATTTCATTTCAAACAGACATTTCTGGAAATCTTGCTAGCTACCTATTTGTACCTTGAACAGCGTGGTCAAGCATCTGCCACTCAGAGTCACATCTCTGACACTTAGAAGCAATGATTCTGTCTTTTCTTATGTTTTCTGCCTGAGGGTGGTGCAGCCCCCATACAATATTTTCTACACTGACCTAGAATATTTCTGAACCATTTCTTCATTCCCACTGCCCAACCAAGTAATTCATCACCCTCCACTGTGCTGATGTGACCATTTGCTGGCCCTCGCTCTTGATGAAACACGTCTTGTCTAGATAATGTTTGTAGAGCTGCATTTTCACAAACACACGGTTTCACAGCACCTCCATTGTCTGGACAGTTACTGTGATAATGACATTTATAAAATATGTAGGCAATTAGAGCGTCAAAAACACTAAACAGTTAAGATCAGCAATAAAAGAGCTCTGTGCATTTCATTTAAGCAAGATTGTGAATGTTATGCAACTATGTAACTATTTATGTGGAGAACAGGTGATATACAATACAAATATTCAACCTGTAGTATAAATTTTGATATAAATTGACTTTACAATTAAGTATTAGGAATTATAGAAAATTCAGAGAACTCATTTCAAATTCTATCTTAGCTTCTTAGGCAAATGTGCCATGAAATACTGGGCACACTTATTACTTGTAAGTTTATACTGAATGTGACAAAGTGCTAGAGGGTCACACTGTATGAATATCTGCTGATGCCTAAGGCAGCTTTGGTGCTGCTCTGAGAAACAGCAGGTCTTCCTAGCTCTGCTAGAGACCAAGTGCACTTCAGAAATCTCACATGTTTGGAGCTACCAAAACCATATGTCACTTCTGAGGTAAGCAGAAATACAAACACTTGCTAAGGCTGCCTAGTACACACACCATAAAAAGGATTATCTCCTCAGCTGAAGCAAAACAAGGGCTACAGCAAAGGTGTGCAGACTACTTTTGCAAAAACAGTATCTGTGCAGAGGTACATTTTATTATTTGATGGAGAACAATCAAACCAAGGAATCAGCACTGCTGAAGAGGACAGCCTGTCATTCTCAAGACTAAATTCATTAACCAAGGTGAAATCACACTGGTGTTGCCATTCAGTCTTGCCATACTACTGCTTCCTGAACAAGTCATAGTGTTAGGCAGCTGAGTGCTGTTTAGTGCACAGTATTCTTCCTTCTGTATCCTAATAGAAGGACCTATTGATCCTTCTAGTATTATCAACAACATACTTTGCAGCAGAAGGTAATTAAATATCACTTTCATTTACGTTAGCCTTTCTCATTTCTTTCTTCATCTCTTCCTTTAGCTCTAAGAGCAGACAGCAGATTACCATTTTCTCCAGGTGCTGCTCACATTCACCCATGTGCCAATGGAACAGAGAGGGGAGCAACACCATCTGTCCAGCTATATACACCAGAGAAAGTGATCCAGGTTACAATATAACTCTGGAAAAAAGGGCTATTTTAACCCGGATCAGTACACAGATCTGTGTTAAAACCACCCAGTGATCTGCCCAAGCCACACAGAAGTGTTACACTAATGTTATACAGGGTTATACTGGCACAAGGCAAAGCCTGTATAAAGGAATGGAACAGAGATCGCCAATGCTGCCATCACCGCAGAAAGAAAGGCTCAATCAGCTTAAAAAAGGCCACTGAGATGTATCTGCACAAGTTGGCTGGAGTTGCTGAAATCAGTCTTACTGCCTGAAGTCAGCATCTCATGAAATTACACCTTCCACACTTCAGTGAAATTACACTGAAGTCTTTTAATACTGACTTCAGCCCCGCTCTTTGTAATACCACAGGTTGGTTATTTATTGTTGCTAAACTACCTCTGTTTCAACAGAGATTCTTAAAACAGTTTAAAATTCAAGGCAGTTGCACTTTTCCTTTTTTAAAATTTTGCCCTTGCTGAAAACAATAATAAAGAATCACTGGTTGACTAAGTGAAACAGTATGTAGGCATCACTCATTGCTCTTCTTGGGAATGTTGCCAAATGAAAACATATGATGGGAGTATGGCTGAAGGTGCTGTGTGAGGTGACAAAGTGCAGCACTAAAGCAATTGCTGACTCTGCACATTCAGACTCTTACTTCTAGCTTTTCCCTTGGATAAAATAAAAACACACTTATTAAAGTATCTGTATATTGTGGTTCCAGGAGATCTGCAGCTAACAAAAGGATTCCCAAGTCTTTAGCAGTCTTCTTCCTTTGTTGGCACAGGACAAGATTTTTTTTTTCTAATTTGCTGAAAAGCAAATTCAGTCAAGTTAAACAGTTTGTGAATCAACACCTAAGCCTGGGGCCTTAAAGTTATTTCCCATTTCCCCACCTCTGAAAGCCCAGCTCATTCCATGGAAGGAATGAGAAAACAATAAAATAAACCATAAATTTGCAGCACTGTCATGAACCTAAACACACACACACAAAAAAAAGTAGAGATGAAATGGAATAAAGCAAGAAGGCCTGACAGTGTGAAGAAGAAAGTGTCAAGACCCCTCTGCAATGCGTTTGATGGCAGTGGGAGGGAAGCGAGGCTGGCACACCACTGGGGAATTTCTCTTTCATGTGGCTTCGCTGTGAGATGGCTCGCTAGCAACAGGGTGGGGGAAGTAGTTTAAAGACTCGCATGCCCTGGAGGGCGGCAGAGCCTGTGTTTCAAGATGAGAAATGATCTTCATCATTTATTAAGCAAAATTTCAGGAAGGGGCAGCATAGATAATTGTATTTTTTCCTACTGCAGCTTCAGGACCTTGCACTGGCTGCATTCATCACTGAACTTTGTGCTCTGCAGGAAATTTCAGAACAAAAGTCTCCTGCCTCCTAGCCAAAGGAGAGAGGTCTGTTGGGCCAATGTGACAGCAGAAACATGGTGCCTGGCTTCCAAAGCTTGGGTATCAGTGGAGGAAGAAAAATAAATCCTCCCCCCACTTCTCACCCATATTGAAATGAAAGAGATGACCAGCT